TTAAAGCAGTAACTGTTTGAAATACACTGGCTACTCAACAACGCCACCTTGTGGTAAAACTTGACTATGTCAATGCACTAAGCATTTTTCTCTCTGTACTCGGTACATACAGTAACTAGACACTCAAAGTCTTTCCAGCAGACAGTGGTGATGCTTCTTTTGAAATTACATCCTCCTGACTGATTATTTGAATTAAAATAGCTGCAGATTGAGGCTCAAAAATGAAAAGATGCTGATCCACGTTCCCCTCTGGCCGGCTTTAACTCTGACGCTGGATGTTGAAGGTCTGGTAGCACTGGGCATTCTCCTGACACATCATCACTGGCCTGTTGTCTTGCTCTGATGTGCTGATGTACCAGTTGGGGAAGCGGGCCGACATGAGGGTGCTGATGCTCACCCCGCTGTCCTGCTTGTAGAACAGAAATCGCACCATCTCACTGTCCCTGCTGAATGCCTCCAGGTCGCATTTGTTCTCGACACGCTGAGGGGACGAGAGGACACATGTCAGAAGGTTCAACATTACTTGCTCACGTCAGAAGTAAATTGATCTCTAGAAGCGTGGTGTCCCTTTCAGATGTCTTACCTCCAGATGCAGGGTTGGCTCTGCACCATTCTTCTGGCATGACAGGAAGAAGTCTGTGTCTTTGATGCCCAGAACGACAGGCCTGGCTTCGATGGTGGGTGAAGGGTGCACATAGGTGGACATGTTGAGAAGAACTGAGGGGCGAGCAGAGGATGTGGGGTCATTACGACGAACTCAGTGATCAGACAGATAAAACTGCATTCGAATTAAATAAATATACATATATCACTAATCAACAGCAGCCAAAGGAATGACTACAAACGTGTCATCGAGCCAAAGGTTCTCTGAGCGTCACGTGTGATCACCTTTGCGGTTGCTGCTGCCTCCCTGCAGCATCACGGCGTGGAGCTCCATGCTGTTCTGGACCAGAATGAAGTTCCTCTTCTGGCTGTCAGTGATGTTGCACGTGTACACGCCCCTTCTGCTGAACTGATCTGGTGGAGACGAGCTTCTCTCACACACAATGTGCTCTATGGGGGGGGGGGGGAGAGAGAGGGATGCTTTGATTACCCGTCATGCTGTTGTTGTGATATCTATGTGGGACAGGGACACTTCACTCCTGTTTGACAGCTCTGGGCCACAAGTAAGATTTGTTTTGTGCTAGTTGGGCCATAGCTACATTCACCACATGGGCCAGTTTAGCTTCACATCCAGATTACAGCTTCACTACAGCTGCAGCGGTGAGACACAGACACACAGGTCTGATCACAGCTCTGCAATAAACATCTGTGTGTGGCCTTAAATCACATCACATCAAGTTTTACTCCTCATTTTCAAATCTCTTTGCGGAGCCTGATGATCATTCAGTTTTTACTACTAGGTTGAAAACGTCTTTATTTGCAAGTATCTTAATCTACCGGTTATTTTAAAAGGTCTCACCATCATTTTATTTTTTTACACAGTTCTATCTGTTTTATTTGTGTTGTTTTTCTCTATCAAATGTGTTTTAACATTTATTATTACAGATTCATCCCTTGTTATTTCCTCGACCTCTTTTACTCGACTCTTTTTAATCTCTTTTATTTTGCTTGTGAAAATTGTGCTTTCAGATTTTAAATTGTTTTCTTTGTCATCTTGTGTCTGTGTCTGTCTCTAATGTCCCTGAACAGAACCTTGAATCTTCACCTCAGTGAGGGAAACGTGTTTTATAAATAAACCTGGCATCAGAAAACTATGCTCGTGAAAACGTGTTTAACATCAGTGAACATTTACTCACTTCCCTCTGGTCCCCATTGTTTCTGTTCAGAGATTTTAAATGTTGATAATATTTCTTTACCTTCCACGATGTTCTCCATCATGATGTTGAGCAGGTTTTCATCTGTGAAGCTTGTGCTCAGCACAGATTCCGAATGGCTGCCCTTCAGCCGCTCCATGGCGATGATGAGGTTGACCACACTTCTCATTGTCATCGGGTGATGGGAGATCTCCAAGTTCAGTCCCTGTGGCATCTTGGCGCTCCACATCTGGCTCACGTTGCATTCCATCTTGGATTCCATCTTTTTCTGAGTGGAGAAAGATCTACGGGCAGAAAGAAATGTTCCAGTGACACTGAATCAGAAAACCTGCTACTAAAACACATATACACACAGAATGCATATTTTAGATGTTGAGAACCACTCAGCAAAGAAAGAACCAAGTATTAACTGCTCCAGATGAAGACTGTCAGACAGGAATATGAGAAGAGGCTTGAGTTTACCTGTGGTAGTCAGTGGAGAGGAGGTTCTGTGAGTGTTCTCGATTCAGCTTGTGAGTGCTGTTGTGTCTGCCTGTGCCTACCTGCCTTTATATAGCCCAATCACAGGAAGTGGGGCGTGTGTCGACGCTACTACACTGTGATGATGAAATTGTGGAAGCGCTGCGGCTCCACTTGAAGTGATTGCGACACACGCACATACTCACAGAAGTATTTTATTACCATTAATTTTATTGTGAGAAAATAAAGAGTGTTGTGGTCTGAAGAGCTGCAGATTATTGTTGCTAAACTCACTATGATTATATAATTTAACATAATGAAATATTTGCTCATTGAACAGTTAGTAATCTTAATTAGAAGAGATACTTTATCAATCCCTCAAGGGGAAATTACATTCAATGTGGAGAGAGTTGGTGGAGTGATGGGCAGCCCCAGAGGAGCTCCCTGCGAGCAATTGTGGGGTTCGGTGCCTTGCTCAAGGGCTCCTCGGCTACTGCACAAACTGCTGGGGAGAAAATAATCTAAGCTCCGAAAAGAGGAAAAACTTTTAAATAAAGATGTTAATTTCTCACACATCTGTATAATTCGTACCAGTTAAAACGTCAGCTGTCCAAACCAATAAAGTATTTGAATCCAAAGTGAAGTTTATTTGGGAAAATGACTTGACTCATTGAAACTATAACAAACCAATTATATTATTATCACTATTAGTAGTAGTAATATTTAACACTTTGATTTGTTGCAGTTGGTTCCTGAAAAATCATCATGATGGTTTTAAAAATCTGCTATTACCTAATGTCTGCAGGCGATCTGGAGTTTTGTGGTTCTTTTGATGTTAAAAAAATTCCACCATCGTCTCAGACCTGCTCCTCTATTGTTGTTGCACGACAGCGGCTGAATCTGAGATTTCTTCACTTCCCTTCTGAGCTGTGATGCAACAGAGGCTGTGTTATCTGGACGGATTCAACAAGCTGAGACTGGCAGTGAGGAAAGATGGCAACTCTAAATACTGATTATTCATGTTACACATCCTGTCTGCTTTATATGGAACCAAACTAAACACAGTAAACATTTTCAACGTATACATCATTAGAACATTTACTTATCTCAGTTAAATTTAGTTTATTTAAGTTCATGTGAGTCCAAGAAGGACTGGGATATGGACGTTTACATTTTATTTCAAACCTTTGGTTCATTTTCTCCACACGTTTCAGTGACAAAAAGGATTTGACAGAGATATGCATAAGCATATTGAAGGAGGAGAAACTGACAGTCCACTTTAAGTATAGATATGAAACAATTCACAATTCGCTAATCATCCACCTCGACAGACAGAGAACCTTTTGATGAAACATCTTGGATGTGGAACGAAAACGTTAATTTATTGGATTCTTCATTGTCGATGTACTAAAAGAAATATTGTTCAAACATTTGATCTGTTATGAAAATCAATCAGTTTAGATTCTGTTTTCCATCTGTATCCACAGCATGTACTTTAATAGTTTTTTCCTGTTATATACTCATATATGTCCATTTTTCTCTTTTACACTAACATGTAACCTGGGCTGAAGTGTTTTGTGTGTTTTATAATCAGGTTTTTTTTTATACGTGGGAGTAGTTTTTTTTTATTAATGTATTTATGTTGTGTGAAACAACAGGGTCGGAAATGTTTGCATCCAAATTCTACAGAGAAAAGATGAAATCCTTGTTAGCAAAACGTATATTATCCATTTTTAATGAATGTGCCATTACTCATACGAACGTGGTCACATTTAAATGAGCAGCTGTGAACCTGAAATCATTATTCTATTTTTCTAATTAGGAGAAATAGTCCTCTCTTTGTTGGTGTCAAACATTTAATAATATATAATTAAAGGGTGTGTGGCATGTTCTTCTCCCTTTGTGTTGATCAAGCTTCTTTTATTACTGCTGACTCATGTTTTCTCTCCATCATACATTCGGAGTTTCTGTCAAACTCAGAGAGGCACTTTCACATCCTTCTTAACAGTTTGTTTCTTTTTTGATAGGAGGAAGTGAAAAACAGTTGAAATGTCAGAAATGATTACGTTATGTTTTGCTGATATTCTGCAGTATAAAGAAGTTGTGCTCAATTTTGTACTTTTACTACCGTGACAAAACTTGAAATTACCCTCAAGGAATATTTGTTATGTGAGAAACTTTAATCATCCTCACTTGCACTAATCAGTCACGATGAAAACAGTGAGACATCTTTTGTTTTATCTCCAAATCGGAACAGTTCCGCGCTGAATAATCAATCTACACTTTAAATTATAACCATTCATATTGTTTATTAATGAAACTTCAGACAAAATCTATTCATGCTTATTTATACTTTATTCAAATGCTGCTATTTAATCTCATTTCTCCTCTTGTCTTTCAGTTTAAAGTCGTAAATGTTGATGTGATCAGATGACGTCAGCTGATAAATCCTGATTAACACCTGACTGATCCAATCAACCAA